TTTTGGGTACTACTCAAGTCCCACTGAGTATCCCAGAAGGTCTAGTAGGATGTCTTTATTGTATCCATGTGGTATCAAGAAGATTCAATGAAATTAATATATATACTGCTGGTATTCCCACTAGTTATGTAAAATATCTTTCGGAGTACTTATATGGTGTCCACAACATCCAATGTGACTACATTGGGTACATCTTATATTCTACCAAGTATCCCAGGTGCTCCAGTAGAATGTCCCTATGTTGCCATAGATGTCCTTTAACAGCACTCAGATATTGTCCAAGAGATCCAATGAGACTACTGCTGATATCCTAATAGTCCTCCAAACATTCTTATTTATACCCAAATACCCTTTGAGAGCACCAAATACTAACTGGGAGATCCAAAGAAGCTAATATTTGTGCTGATGGTTTCCAAATGGTCATTCAGGATGTCCCTATTATACTCCAGATGTCCTTTGGGGTACTTGTATAGTGTCTATAACATCCAATTAGACTACCATGGGTATTACTTATATCCTATTGGAGCATCTGGGATCTTCTTATTATACATGGATACCCTTTAGGAGTACTCACAATTATATAGAACATCCAATAAAACTACTGGTGTCCTTGTGGGCATTTCTAATGTTTCTGTTATATCTTACCATTACCCACAAGGTGTCCAAAATGTCTAATAATGCCTCCATCAACTGTATAGTACACATGTACAAACAAACCTGTAGTAGTATATATACCCCAATAGATCAAGGAGACTCCTCAGCGAGTCCTCCTGTTGTATACCAACAAACTCTCTGCAGCTTAAGGGGTAACCACTCCCTCATCACTACCTTTATAGTGTGTTCTTGTGTGCGCCAGAGTAACTAACTCTTGGTTGTTACAGCAATAGCAAAGGCTAATATCTTGTTTATCAGTGTGTTTTTTCATTCGGGAGAGAGCAAAATAGTCATAGCCTGGGGACTGATGTTAGAACTTATTATGGGCAGTTTTAAGTTAAAAATTTGTTTAATTTCAGCATGAGGGAGACCTATTTTGTCCCAGAGATTCAACATTTTAACAAGGGGAGTAGAGAGGAGTTTGTTGTATTTGGAGTACTTGGCTAAATCATGTTATTTTGCAAGCCCAAAAGAATCATCAACATAAATATAAGCACCAATTACCCGCTTTACCACAGCTATCCAGATGACGAGCAACATAAAAGCATGGAGAATTTGCTAAGAAGCTTTTCCTCCAAAAACATTGGCACAATCTACATGTTTATTATCTTTAAATGATACTATTTGTTTGGCTTGCCATAGTGGATGTATTAGCATTTGTCGGCACGCTTCAGATACATCACCTTTCCATAGAACAAGAGGAATATCCCCATGAATTTGTATGAACAAGCCGTGTCATGCACCAAGGTTGATTGGTAGCATGGACAGGTGTCAATAACGAAGCGAATATTCGAAAAGACTCGCCTTTGCGCCACATAGGCACAGTGCCACGTGGAAAAGTAATTAATATTGCCTTTTTAGAACTTGTGGCTGATCAGCACCACCTCTATTAGGCAATCCAGTTGCACTCACCTTTGCTTTTCCATCCGGTACTTTCCGTGTTTCGGCATTTCGGCAAATTTTTGCGTCGCCACTGGCTACACATTGCATTGCGCCCTCGCTTGTGTCGTTTCCCTTACTCCCCTTCCTTTGCCTAGCCCCACCATGGGCCCCTTCCTCTCCTTTTTATTCTCACCTGACAGTCGTTTCTGGATCCCCATTCTAATCCACTTTTTTGTCACCTCCACCCTCCTCCTCCTCATCTTATTTGCACCCCCACCATTTCTGATGTCACCACTTTCTATCCGCTTCCGTTGCTGATCCGTTGACTACCACATGCCACTGCTGATATCAGCAAAGCCCCGGCGGCCAGTCCAAATAGGGTAACAGGTCCATCTTCATGACGTCAATCTGCCATCATATACTATCAAAACATCAGTCGCTTGTCTTGCCTGGTTGGAGTGTGGGTGGGTAGTTTTTGAGCTGGAGAAGGTTCATCCCCTTGCGTTGCCCATGTTTATTGCTGTCCCATTCACTTGGGTACACTTATCTTTTGTCCATCGTCTTTGCTACAGCTACACCTACCACACGCTGCCTGGGACTCACTTGTTCCAAATTAGAACTACTCCTCTCCCTCCCTCGTTTGATCAGGTGGTCCAACACAACCAGTCCATTGGTAAGGCCATAGAACTGTCAGATTTGGACTAGGTGGTGGACCAGTGGCTCCAGTTTCTTTTTTTTCAGCAGAATATTCATTTACAGTGCGATTATTTTTGATTTTTGAATCATTTTTATGGACACATATTTTTTTAGAATGCCTGACTGACAATAAAGGAACTGTGTTGATACTGATAGTGTTTTGCCTTGCCCTTTTTTTACTGCATCTTCTTCCCATGACATCATGATTTTCCTGCTCTCTTTTTGCTATTGGACTTTACTTTATGGCTGTACAAACCTGTGACATTACTCACAGCATTCATTGTTCTATCCCTTTCTTTCCCTTATTTTGACAATCTTATCCTGTAGCAACTATGCAGGATTCGTCAGCGTACATTCCTTCCTTCATGTTCTTTCTCATTCTTTTTGCGCAGCTATACTGTGCATAGCCTACCTTTCTTTTTACTATATATATAAACCCCTGTATTTTACCTTGTAAAAAAACAACAAAGAACTCCAATCCAGACTTCTTCTCTAATCTCAAGTTCACTACTCTTCTACTTGTGATCCAGTGTGGTCACAACACTTCCCACTGCTACCACTGCTAATTGCTGTCATCGTCACTTTCCACTTTTGAAGTCATTGTTATCCCTTTCGATTAGAGTCCTTCTGAGCACTACAGTTTGTGTGTCAGGAGCCTGCTATCACTGGGAACCTTGTCATCTTGTCACCTTGTCATCCTTGTTGTTCTCAAACCTACCTTGTGCTACGATTAGCAAGGTAGTGCTCATCTATACTCGTCACTAAGCCCCTATCTTCTATCAATTCAACTATCCCTCCTCCTTAAAACCCACACTCATACATTTCTGGGTTTTACTTTGAAGGATCTTCATACATACCACCCCACAAACAACCAGAGCATCTACTGTTCTAGGAGGCAAAGCCCATAAACAAGTTCTGTGGAATCTGGGAGGATTATTTGTTAGTTTGTTTTTGTGTGTGGTTTTCTAACAACAGTTCTCATCATCGACATTGTCCCAGGTGGGCCACACTCCCACGATGTAGCACTCCTGAAGTCTTACTTGGGCGTATCAACCCACCACAGGTCCCTTTAGCCGAGATAGCACCGCAGTGGCTACCTCAAAGTCATCGGCAAATGTGTCCCAGTTTGCCTTAACCCAAATCTGGAGTTTGGTCCACCATTCGGCAAATCATGCTTTCTCTCCTTCCAGGGTCAGCGACAACTTCAACTTTCTTGTTGAACTTTTTCTCTATCGAGGGGTTTGCCGCAGGGGGATTTGCCTGCAGGAAGCTTGGCAAGTTGAGTGGTCAATGCCTGAATCTGCACACGCATGTTGTGCAGCAGGGCATTGATATCTGGTTGTAACGACATGTTGAACTTGTTCTCTTTGTAAAGTAATAAAAAAAATGTAACTGGGGGTCCCTGCTTGCTATCTGCGGATCTATCTCTTCCCAGCTGAGTATTGGATCTCAATCTCTGACTACCCACACTATAGTATTTTGAAAATTTATATAAAAGTTATAGTATTAAACCCTGGTCTGAACGGTTGTCAGGGGGTGGTCCGCTTGTTAAGCTGTCAACCCTTCTCCAGACTGGCGGAGGCAAGTGCCCGGCCTGGTCAGAGGTATACGAAAATGAAGTTTTGTATTTTAAATCTAATCAACAGTGGTTCCACACCAACTGCTGAGCTATAGTACTCCCCTTAACACTGGGGGCCGTGTATCACAGGTTTTGGGTTCTTCTCCCAAAGCACTACAAGGCCATCGCTAGGAGCACACCTATCTGCTATGCGGGATATTCCCAACCAATAACCAAATCTCCTTCACCCTGGAGTCCGGGTGCCCAGTGGGACTTTTTGCACAACGTGCAAGAGAGGAGAGGAGCGAGTCCTAATGTAACAACCAAGAGTTAGTTACTCTGGCGCACACAAGAACACACTATAAAGAAGATGTTGAGGGAGTGGTTACCCTTTAAGCTGCAGAGAGTTTGTTGGTATACAACAGGAGGACTCGCTAAGGAGTCTCCTGGATCTATTGGGGTATATATACTAATACAGAGTGTTTGTACTTATGTACTGTACAGTTGATAAAGTTAGTGGCTGATGATGTCATGGGGCCTAGCCCGCATGACCAGCTCCACTGTGTGAGAGAGTTGTATCTAAAATAAGAAGAAGGCAATGCAGCGCAAGAAAGAGGAGTTTGAACAAAAGGAGAAGTACTGCGTGGCACCCTGTGTGAAAGCTAAAGTGTACAAGGTTAAAGCAGAGAATGAAAAAGAAGGAAAGGTCCAAAAATTGTGTTATCGTAACATAATAACTCCTAGGAGTACAATTGTGCTCCTAGAAGAACAATGGTGAGTTCATGGAGTGGTGGATATGCTCTATGGAGAACAAATGGCTGCTTTAGCAGAGACCGGGTTTATCCAGTTTTGTCACTCCCACTTGAGTGCAACCGTAGTCCCATAGCTTTAGAGAATTTACAGTGTTTTTTGTGAGTGAGGGGTTTAGTAAGAGTGTTGGCAACCATATCTCCTGTAGGAGCATATCTGATTACTGCCTCTCCCTTTGATACTAAGTTATCTTGGATGAAATGATATTTCCGTTGAATATGTTTTGTGCGGACATGGAACTGCGGATCTCATGTAAGAATGATGGCTGCTTGATTGTCACAATGCAATATTGTAGGTCCATTTTGAGCATGTCCAATTTCTTCAAAAAATATCTGAAACCATGCAAGGTGTTGTCCAGCATTGCTCAATCTAATGTACTCTGATTCCATGGAGGATAAAGCTACCATGCTTTGTCTTTTGCTTGACTATGAGATTGCTCCTGGGATGGTGATAAAAACAAAACCTGATGTTGATCGAGATGTGTCTGGGTCTCCAGACCAATCCACATCCAAATATCCTCGGAGTCAGATCCAGATGATTGCTCCACCGTATTTGCCTTTTCCTTCTCTTTTCCTTTATCCTTGTGTTTCTCCTTTCCCATTGTCTTTTGACCTTTCCAAGCTGACTGAAGTGTTTGACACTCTGAGGTGTTGTGTGATTTGACTTTGTAGAAGTCACACCACTTCTCCTCAGACTTGAGTGCTGATGTGGAACCTCTAGGAGCCTTTTCTGACTGTTGTGCAACTTCTGCAGTGACTCAAATCTCAACTGCATCAAAGGTCAGTTTATTTTCTTCAATCACGTTGATTACCAATAACTGAAATATTTGCCATTCAAAAGTGCATGGGAGACATTGAAGAAGAGCAAAGGCCATGACTCCCATTTAAAATTACAGAAAAGCTCGAGCAAATATTGCAAGTAATAGGGATTCTTCCCTCCCGCAAATGTGAAAACCCAAAATTTCAAAACCTCCAAAACCCTCCCTGTATCGCCCAATGATATGGCCTGACACATTTCCCACCACAGCATTCTGTTCTGTATGAACAAAATTGTGTTAGCTAAGGTGAGGTCCCGGTTGGGATCCGGTGGTTTTTCTGAGGGTTCTGAGAATTCGGATATGCTGTCTAGATCCATCTCACTGCTTGTCTCACTATCCCCCTTTTTCTCACTATCACTCTCCTCAAGGTCACTTTCAGTAGCTCGTATACCACTCTCATTGTTTGGTTTGGCTGGATGCACCCAAATAGAGCCCATTGGTATGTTTTCTCTTGCTTCATTGTCCTTTGAAGGATTCTGTGCATTATTATAGGCAAGAGTTGTAGCATAGCATTGAAACTCAGCTGCTGCCCAAGAGGCTATAGAAATGACTGAGGTATTTCTATACTAAACCCCCTACTACTTATAGTCAGAGGTGCTACTCGCTACAGTATAATAACTCCTAGGAGTACAATTGTGCTTCTAGGCAAACAATTGTTACTCCATGGAGTGGTGGCTATGCTCCATGGAGAACAATGGCTGCTTCGGCAGAGACCGGGTTTATCCGGTTTTGTCACCACATTATACTTCAAGTTTACTTGGAGCAGACTTATTGATGCCTCCCAAGGTTGCAGAGAATTACAAACCAGGCTTTTAGAGGTTCAAAGTAATGAAGAAATTAAAACCATATTAATTGATTATGTGTATCAACCAAGAGTTTGTATGCTTTGGCGCACAACTCAGGCAAAGCTATAAAGAAGTGAGGGGAGTGGTTACCCTTTGGATAGGACCAAGTTTGTTGTGGGTAAACAATAGGAGGACTCACTGAGCAGTCTCCTTGATGTATTGTGGTATTTATACTACTACAGGTTGTTTGTATATATTGTACTATACAGTTGATAAAGCAGTGGCTGATGATGTCAGAGGGCGCAGCCCGTGCGACCAGCTCCACTGTGTGAGAGACTTGTAGCTAAAATAAGAATAAAGGCAGTGCAGTGCAAGAAAGGGGAGTTTGAACAAAAGGGAAAGTGCTGCATGGTACGGAGTGTGAAAACTACAGTAAAAGGTTAAAGCAGAGAATGAAATTAAAGGAAAGGTCCAAAAAGTGTTATTGTAACATTATGTACGTATTTCCACCTCCAATAATGTTATACTAATCAAGTACCTTGTTGCTAGGTTTGGTCTGCTATTGCCCAGGTTTGAGGAGAAATTGTTGCCAAAGCACACATCATAATCAATAGTGCTTATCAAATTCCTGGTAATATGGCCCCAGTTCAAATCAAGCAGGCTGTAATGTGGCTTTTAGAGACTGGTGCATTTGCTGACTGTGATCTTGATATTAAAGTGAGTTGTGATTCTCCTATGTTTATGCCAAATTGAACTATTGCTTCAAGGCCAGGACATTCAACAAGCAGAAGCCATTTTGTCATCAGATTTTCAAGGACTTGATTCATAATCAATGGTATGGGCGTAAGGGTGAGGGAGTACACTATCCTGAACATTTTTAAGGCATTCCTTTAGCTCTACTTGCAATTGTATGTCCTCAATCTGTGGTCTGTATTATTTATTTATTCCATTTTCTTTTCAGATTGAATGTTCCCTCAGGGGATATGTGAATGGTAGAAAAGCTACCCAAGAATTCTCAGAGAGCATTGTCAAAACCAGGTACAATATCATTTATTTATGTCAAACTTAGTTTTTATTTTATTTAAAGGTGGGAGTACTATTTCAAAAAGCTGTTGGCGCTTCAGAAGAAAAGCCCTGTGTGGATGAAGCAAATGAGAGAAGGTTTGTACCAGGACATTCTGTAAGTACCAATATTTTGGCTGTTACCACCGTCACTAATTTTACTATAATAGAAATCTGGCCAATCTCCATTATCTAGGGATTGATGAAGACCAGATGAAGGATGAGGATTTTGGTATTGAATTTGAAGCTCTAGAGGACACTATCATTGCACAAGCTGCTTAATAGTATTTGTAGTTGTTCTCCTATTTACTATTACATATAGTATAACTGCTAGTAAAAAATATGGCTGCGCTGTTTTCATTTCATAATTTGGTAATTAAATGCAATATGTGCTATGAGTGCTTTGAGTACTATAGGTACTATGGATGTCCTAATTGAAGTAAGTGCTATGTCTACTCCAAATGCCATTATAGTATTAGCATTACTATATGTGTGCTATAAGTGCTATAATTTCCATAGGTGCTATAGGCCCTATGTCTACTCTAAATGCCATCATAGTATCAACATTACTATAGGAGCTTCTTGGAACTATAGCCAACTATGAGATCACTATAAAAGCACATTGTGCTTAAATGGATGATGGGGTTTCTCTTACAGCTATGATCACTATAACAGCTATTTTTGCAATTATAGTACTATAAGAGCCTATATAGCCAAAGTGTTTTTCCTGATGATGCAGCTTTTGGGAACATTGTCCCCTTCATTTTAGACAAGTTTCAACCTGTGGCTCTGCCACTGTGGTGCAACATTTTGGCTATATTATAAATAATGATTATCATTATTATTATTCCTGTTAAGTGATAAAAACGTTAAGTTAGTAAATTTGTGCTGTCTGTAAAGTATGTTAAGTCCTTGAATTCTATATGATATATGTTTGACTTGCTGTTCAGTTGTTGAATGTTTTTATAGGCCTACCCTAAACTTGTGTACAGTATACTGAATTCATGCAGATGATTCATTGAATCTTTACAAACATCAACACATATTATGATGTAAAAGGTCTGTAGTATTATATTGATAAACTGGCAAAAAGTATAAAAAAAGACTCCAGCAATGGTAAAAGATGATAATATGATCTGATAACAAAACACTTTAGCAAAAGGGGAAAGAATTTGGGATAGTTTTACTTGCCAGTCACAGATAAAGCCAGTCAGAATTTCAGGACACACAACATTGAAGGTACATCTGTTAAACCATCCAAAAATAGTACTTTTATTCTCTCTTCTTAAGTGCAGCAACACAAAGTTGTGCATGTGAAAACACTGGGACATGTAAATCCAACCCAACCTGTATCACTGATTGCCCTTGACACTTGTTGATGGTCATGGCAAAGGCAACATGGACAGGGAATTGACAATGTGATAGTTTTATGGGCAATTCTTTTCAATGAAGGTTCCAATGTGAGGTGTGGAATAAAAGCTATCTTTCCTGCATGTTTTCCTCCCAAGACACGGCACTTCAATACTCCTCTCTTTATCTCTATCAAAATCATGCATGTTCCATTGCAAAGTCTATTTAGGGGATCAATATTGCAGAGGAGCATAGGCAGACACCCAGCTTTGAGTTTGAGGTGTGCTTCAGGAAGGCTAGATACTTGCAAGGAGTTCAAGAATCACACAGAATAATGTTCATTTTCATCTCTCACCACTTTATCAATTGACAAAGCTACTACCTTTTCTCCAGGGAGTTTTGTGAGGATCACAGAATTGAGGTCACTAACTGCATCATTTTTTGTGGAGAGGATAGTACAGTGGAGGAAATAATGGTCATCTTTATCTCTATTTGCAATTACAGGATAGGTAGTGTTGACTAATGAGTCCATGGTGTTTTTTGGGATAAGCATATTGGCTGGTGTCAGGACTGTGGCCTCTTTGGAGTAACAGAGCTGTGGAGTACAAGGACGGAGTAATGGAGTATAGAGGACAAGATGGGGAATCAGCTTAGCCCATGTGCTAGACCCTTCCACAGACCTTGGTCCCTAACTCATTGGAAGTGCACAGAGCAGAAGTAGAGGATGAAAGGGAGCAGATTATGTTACGATAACATAATTTCTGGACATTTCCCTTCTTTTCATTCTCCGCTTTAACTTTATACTTTAGCTTTCACACATAGTGCCATGCGGCATTTCCCCTTTCTCGCACCGCGTTGCCTTTCTCTTATTTTTAGATTCAACTCTCTCACGCAGTGGAGCTGGCCATACGGGCTAGGCCCTATGACATCATCAGCCACTGCCTCCATCAACTGTATAGTACACATGTACAAACAAACCTGTAGTAGTATATATACCCCAATAGATCCAGGAGACTCCTCAGCGAGTCCTCCTGTTGTATACCAACTAACTCTCTGCAGCTTAAGGGGTAACCACTCCCTCATCACTACCTTTATAGTGTGTTCTTGTGTGCGCCAGAGTAACTAACTCTTGGTTGTTACATTAGGACTCGCTCTTTCTACTCTCTCGCACATTTGTGCAAAAAGTCCCATTGGGCACTTGGACTCCAGGGTGAAGGAGATTGGTTAGTGGTTAGGAATATCCCGCATAGCAGATAGGTGTGCTCCTAGCGATGGCCTTGTAGTGCTTTGGGAGAAGAACCCAAAACCTGTGATACGCGGCCCCCAGTGTTAAGGGGAGTACTATAGCTCAGCAGTTGGTGTGGAACCACTGTTGATTAGATTTAAAATACAAAACTTCATTTTCGTATACCTCTGACCAGGCCGGGCACTTGCCTCCGCCAGTCTGGAGAAGGGTTGACAGCTTAACAAGCGGACCACCCCCTGACAACCGTTTGGACCAGGGTTTATTACAATTACATTTTTATATACTTTTCAAATACTATAGTGTGGGTAGTCGGAGATTGAGATCCGATACTCAGCTGGGAAGAGGTTGATCCACAGATAGCAAGCGGGGACCCCCAGTTACCTTTTTTTTTACCTTACCAAGAGAACAAGTCGACATGTTGTCGCAAAACCCACAACAAGATATGAATGCTCTACTGCACGCCATGCGTACGCAGATAGCAGCATTAACCTCGCAACTCGCCGAGATACAGGCAAACCCCCCTGTAGTAACCCCCTCGGTAGAAAAGAAATTCAACAAAAAAGTCGAAGTCGTAACTGACCCTGGCGCCTTCGAAGAAGACAGAGCGCGATTCGCCAAATGGTGGATCAAACTCCAGATTTGGGTCAAGGCAAACTGGGATGCATTTGCCGACAATTTTGAGGTAGCAACTGCGGTGCTATCTTGCCTAAAAGGACCTGTGGCGGGTCAATACGCCCAAGTAAGACTTCAGGAGTGCTACACTGTGGCAGTGTGGCCCGCCTGGGATGATCTCAAGATAGAGATCAAAAAATATTTCAAACCGCAAGCTGAGCGTGACTGGGCGCATCAGCAATTCCGTTCCTTCAAACAAAGAAACATGAGGACGGATGATTTCGTAATACGGTTCCTGGCCCTCTCAATCCCTCGCATTGCAGAGCAGATCTACCTGCAGGATACAAGAAGTGACAACTTGGCCCTGGCGGCTGAGAAAGTACGACGAGTCGGTAGAGCCATAGAGCTCTACACTATGCACCAAGGTGGCGGGTCCACCAAACAAAACAACTCATCCCAGAGGCGCCCTGGGTCATCAAACCAACATAATCACTCTCACAGGTTCAAGCCGTTTGGGCTGCAGCCAGGACAGGGTGCTCCTATGGATGTCGGCGCGGTCCAAGGCGGACAGATGCGCAGATTCAAGGGCAACTGTTACAACTGCGGCCAAGAGGGACACATGTCCCGAGACTGTAGAAACGGGGCGCAGGCTGCCCAACAAAAAAATAATCAAGGGCGCCAGGCGCGCCAATTAGAAACCAAAAAGCCAGACAATCCACTTCAGTCACCCCCAAAACATAAGCATTTAGCTTCAACTATCTGTGTAAATGTATAAAGCTAAGAGCTTGTTTTTCCTGGTATCATCCCAAGTGCTCCAGCAAGGATGGGATCATTCCAGAAGCGGAATAATACCACCCTTCTGGGATTTTCCCATGGTATCAGACCATGTACCATAGTGGGATTATCCCTCAGATGGGATAATCCCAATAACCTGTCACATGTCACATGGTATCAGGGGGATTGGTGCTAATACTAACATGTGAGAATGCTGGGCCAACTAGTGAAGATATTTCCAGTCTTTTCCACCTGAATAATGGTACTTTAGCCCAATATAATCAAGACTATTTTGAAATATATGAGTTACAAGTTCCTCATTGTAGCTTACTGCAAATTTGGGGAGAAGCATTCCCTTTTTTTTAAATGTGGAACATTATCAATTTCTAGATATAATCAATTGCAGGAACCATACACTAGAAAGATGCTGTTGTCCTTGCTGATAGATGTGATATGTGAGTTCTGCTTTTTTGCAAGGTTTATTATACCCTTAACTGAAGTAAAAACTAGGAAACACAACACAAATGCTGTGACAACAAAGTAATCTGCAGAAGGACATCGAATATTAGATTTACACTAGATCTGGCATATTCTGTGAGGAAAATCCTGACCTTGTAGAAAGTAAAACATAGTAAAAAGAAACATAAAGTCATGTTCTTGCAAAAACATGAATTTACCACTTTTGTGGCACTACCAAGGTATTTGATACCTTATATTGTACATTCTCTGAGAGTGGTTCCTGGGGGCTGCTGGCTGAAGGTCTATGGGGAGAGGGGGATGCTTGCTATGTACAGTATAATACACAAGATCTCCATTTTGATACTCCTACACTAGATGACTTGAGTGTGAGGATTAATTAGGCACTGCTTAGGTATTTAATACCTTGAGTTGTGCCATTTCTGGGAGCTACCAGCTGAAGGTCTAAGGGGTGACTGGTGCCTATATGCTGACTGTGTATAGTACAGTATCTAAGTCCACAAAGAATCTGAGTGCTGTAAAGGTATTCTTTTTTTAGATTCTTGAGAAATTGAAATGAATCCGGAAAATATTTTTTCATGCCAAGTAAGGTTTCTGCCAACATTCTCTGTCTCTCATATGATAGTGATGCTGTCTCACACCACTCTTTTTGGATTATCATTTTTATGGCAATATGTAGAACTCAGGTAATTTCCTTCAAAACTGATTCTGACCATTGACATTGCCCAACTTTTGATTTTTTTTACTGAGGATCATCCCACACTGATCTGGACAAATCCCTGAAATAGGGTGTGATCATCCCAGTTAAATCTGTACATGTCCC